AGATTTATGAAGACTTATTCAGTCGTAATTCTGTTATTATCCTGATGAGAATAATCAGTGATAACTGTTCCTGGACTAATACTATACATATAGTCCTTTATTTTATAATTATTAAGTAACTAAACTATTGATATACATTCACTTGGTATTATTTTACTTGAATATTCCTATTGATGTTTAAGACTGCAATTGATCAGTCTCTTATTGGTATGTGCATACTATGCGTATTGTATCGATATTGCCATAATTTACAAGCATTATAACAATACCAACTTCACCCAATCGCACAAGCAAATGGCTAACAGGACTCAGTAACTAAGTGGATAACGAGATGGCGTTTGAAGTGAACGGTACTGGGTACGAATCCCAGAGTGAACATAAACTCTGAGATGCAGGTACATTCAGTTGACGAGTCCAAAATAGGACGAAGGGCGCGTCAAACTGGATTACACCACTAGCCATTAACCATCTCTGCTTATTCATGTTATTCTTATTATAAGCTTTATTTTGACCCATAGACTATTATTATACGATTCACCGTTGTTGAGTTATGCCCTGTCTACCACTTACTATCTCCCATACTCACAGCAACTTTTGGCTAAATCCTGTACAATGTTGTTTCACATTTTATGGTACAGTGTGGTCTGTTAGGCTTGTATATAAACTCAGAATGTTTAAAATACATGATTCGTATTTCAGAGGCTGAGATTGGTGTTTGAACTCAACAGGCAGGGCTAGACAGGAAGAAAGACCGATAGAGACTTTAGACTGCTCGTACGAGTTTACGTGTCACTGATCCGGTCGATAACTCGCTGTTCTCTAATTGGCGATATCATTACGTTAAACTTTGATAGGGGCACAAACCGACAAGTTATAACAAATTCAATATTGTTTTAAACATTATAATAGTGTACTTTCGGATCAAGTATTGAATTTGTTCAGTTTGAAAAGTTCCTAGTTGATATTACAGGTTAAAAAAAAGTAAAATCATGTATCTTATAATGATTATTAGGGTTTCCCCACATGGGTTCGAATCCCATCCCCATTGTCATTTGTTATATCTAGAGCTTAGATTCTTACTATTTCGCGTATATCTTGAGCACTCAATGCTAAAACACTCTCAAGTCGCAAATGAGAAGACAGAAGACAACTGAAATGAGTGTTATTGCAAAGAGTGTCATTTATGGTACAAGACTGTTAGGTATTTATAGTTTATAGTAAAATTGAAATAATCATTAAAGTTATACAATCTGCACACAGGTGTTTGCGACTTGAGAACTGTAACGTTGAAAGATAGCATCAGTTGGCCGTTGTAAGTCAGAGTATCTTTATTGTACGGGAAACTTAACAGTGATCAGATGAATCAGTCGTTCCAATGCTCTTCAGGTTTCTTTTGACAAGTGGTATGTCCTGTATCTAGGAAGTGAAGCAACCTACCGTAGCTCGACCTCGTTTTGTGCAGTTTCAGCCTATCGTGAAATCGGAGGTTTAGTCCTCCAAATTTCATTCCCCACTGATCTTATGTGGTATTCATCGTGCATAAGAGTTTGTCTGAAATCGTAAAAACCTGGTTATCTAGTCAACAGAATATAGTTTCAACAAAAACACACGATCATACTACTTCGAGCCGAAATCGTAGCAACGCTATACAAGCTTAGTTGGCGAGTTATACAGATCTGCTGGTAACGGCAGCCTACTGGTGTACTTCAAATTCGGAGTCTGATCGAGATTACTTCACCATCAAACCAAGTGATAATAGATATTATTTCTAAATTTTCAAGTTTCTTTCTACTGACCTATCGTAGATGTGTTCGTCTACAGATAGTATTAGTCGACTTGAACTGCAATGGAAATGCACTGAGCTCAGATTCTAGCATAAAAAACGAATAGTGTCAAACCATACGCAGTTGTTATAATGATCAAAATCTCGTATACATCTCGGTTGACTTCTCCAAAATAGTACGCTTGAAATTCTGAAGTTAGTAGCATTAATTAATCCATAGCAGGGTTGATTTTCGTATACGCTCAAAAATAAAAATCGAAGGTTTGAAATAAGTTATATTTCAGTGTAAAACTATGTAGAGTGGATAAAGACGGTATTTGTTAAGATAAAACAACACTGCTATATGTCGTTTATAATACCTGTATCATAATAACCTAACCATCTTGCAGAAGTGGAAAATGAAATTTACAAGGTTGAGAGGACCATATCAGATATGCAGTATACAGTCAGTGCTATGTATGTCGACAGATATAAGTAGTATGTAACACCAATCGGAAGTGGAAACCCTGGCAGCAGAAGGCTAAGATCAAGTTGAAGAGAAAATAGAAATGGAAATAGAAAGAAACTGTGACTTGGAAGAATCATACAGAATGTGAAGGACAAATGATGGAATTCGGCAAATGAAGTATTCAATGTATAATTCTCATATTTTACCAAGAGATTCTGTAATTTTGTGCTAACATGCATTTGGTCGTCCCTACTAGCTATAGAAATAATCAGATAATTGCATCGGTTTGAAGATAACCCCAATTATGAAACGACGTCAATTGGGAGATCACTCTATTCACAACTCAGAATCTCCAGTTATGGTGAGCACGGTTTCACCCACTCAATGAGTAAAAATCCAACATTCCAAACTTTTTAACTCTGATAACTTTTTAATGGTGTAATTATCGTTTCAATCAAATGCAGTCGCAAGTTATTAACATAACTCGACTCAACTGACCATCGAAGCAAGATTGTTTGTAAACACTTGATAACGTAGTTGAGAATAACTGAAACAATAAATATATCTCCACACTAACTGACTATGTAACTAAATAATGATGGACACTAAACGATATTTATTTAGTCAAATGAATATACTAATTTAAGACAGAAATATAATTGTACTTTGGTAAGTGATGAATCAAAACAGATAGTTCCAAATCTACATGTAAGTTAAATACTGTGAGAAAGTGGAAGGATTAGGTGGCGTTGAGACTTAGTTACCGATTGAACACTGGTGAGATGTGGTTGAGGAAAGAATGATAATCTCACAGTTACCATGTAATTACAAAAAAGACCGTTTGGAAGCTTATTAGCATGAAGGCAGATGCAGGACAAATATCCTTGGAGTTAATTAGTCAATAGTTTGAAACACTTCGGCTATCGTGTCGTTAAATATCAAACAGCTTGTTTTTTGTGACTACTCATATCAGTCTTTAGCTTTTAATTCGGATAACAAGCACACTTGACACACACGTTCGTCCCTTCACAGATGAACTGAAATGCTACGACCGCAAAACTTTTCATAGTTCGGTTTCACCTTATTGAATGAAAAATATGTATGATTATGAACCAAGACTTTAATAGCGCCCATATTATGCTTCTTTAAATAAAACAATATTCATGCGGAAGTTAGAATCAGATATCGAAATAGTCAATGTCTTAGTGGGTAGAACACTCAACTTACAGTCGTCAGACCACAGGTCCTAACCCGAATCCACCTGCTTCGGTCCGGACATCCAAATATCAGTAATGGCCGTCACAAAAAAATATGGCTTAATGATGAGCACATAAGTCTGTATCCAGTAAGAGTTCCATGAACCAATAAGTTGAAAAACGGTATGTAGTTATGCTCCCTAATGTTAAAAAACACTCATGCCCTAAATATGAACGGCGTTTGAATTACTGTATCACGCTTTTTTTCGTCAACCCAGAAAACAGCAATCGAGATGCGAAAATTTAGTAACTGATTTACATGTCTTAGATACAAAGTTACTTTACCATACATCTTAACATTTACTAAATAAGTTGTTCGGCAACTACCTAAAGCACAATATCATTCTAAACTCTGGTCGAGGTAACCTATAGAAGACAACGACGAACTGAGGCTACCAACTCCCTTGACCTTTGAAATACTAACAGATGTGGAGTAGAACTACAACTCAATAGTTTAGAAAAGTAGCCTCTGGATACCAAATCATGAATCCTGATCTTACGCCACTTATTGATGTTAAGACATTCATAGGAAATACCACTAATCTAATCAGCTATTCACAAACGCCATTGCATGTTCAAGGCTTCCGTGCAATAATATGCTTACCAAAATATGTAGATGTGTACTTGACTATTATTCACCATCAACAAACCCTAAACATACACGAGATATTACAGACCACAACCAATGATATTACGTGAATTGGTTTCTATAGGATACCCAAGTTGATCTTCAAGCTATGTAACTGTAGTGACTACTCGACTGCAAGAGATATATGATTTTCTAGCCACTTGATGGAACTTTTAAAAACCAATGGGATATCTAAAGTATGGATGGCAAGCCTAAAAAGACACGACATAAACAGAATTTACTAGGATTTTACTGCTTACAACAATATGAAGCCCTGACTTGTGAAATCTGGTTATAGTTTTTACACCCAAGTAAAAGCTTACATTTCGCGAAGAGAGATAATTAGGTTAAGTGGACATTTTACTACAGCAATGTCATTTTAGTTTAATCAAACCAAGTTGTCTGCACCTATACAGAAGGCTAGGGGCGGCCGGACCAAAACATGGCACAAGTTCATGAAGTCACTGACAAGTGGTCTGAGTCATGTCGGTAGGTGAAGACTACCTGGTTGGGGACCGCGAGACGATAGCAACCGATAGTTAGAGACGCTGAATGACATGGCTCAAAGTCGTTTGCAATGGCGCAGGTGCATCCACTCTTTGTGTTCTCCCAAATTTTAATTTCCTGATTTCTCCTTGTCTCTGTTTTTTCTCTCAAATTTATTTCACTGTATTATACTCTTTAAATAACATCTCCAAACACTAATCTTCCAGATTACTGCTTATACTCTTATTACCTCTACCACTACGGGATTTGAATCGACAACTGCATTTCTGTGCTAATGTGGTATGGCAACTCGAACTGATGTACGTAGGTACGAAGTTTTACGTTGTTACTGACACTGATACAGCCTTCTGCATAGGATGGGGGACTGTCTCAGCACCACACAACAGAAAGGCAACAAACGACCAGGCAGACTTTGCGTCAAAATTTCTGACGATACGTAGCACGAGTTTGTCAGTAAAGCACAAACGTTCCGCTCTAAAGCACATTTTAACTTTAACTTTAGTCGCTAACAGGATATACAATGTAAGACGAACGAGAAAATAGAAGACGCCATATAAAAGAGTACACTGACGCTAAACATATCTAGCTGTCTTTATTTGATGCTTTTCTGACAACTAATCACTGTCGCTGACCATTCTTAGTAATTGAATCCGTGAACTGCTTAGACCTAGACTTGACAAAACCTTGGGAATCCCCTCAAGTAATGGTAGATATTTTGCTGCAACAATTTGATCTCTGCCAGGTAAGATAATATCATATGATATCTACCCTGTATTTCTGACTAAGGTATTAAAAAACGTCTTGAAAATAAGTAACAAAATCCTATTATCAAGTTCAAGTCATTTTTTAAATGAACATTTGCTTATTGGATTTACAGCTAACTACTCAGTATATTGTCTGATAAACGGCATCTATGCGCTTTCTTTTGCCAATTGTTCTGCTCTCTCCAACACATCTTCAATTCCTCCAACCATGAAAAATGCAGCCTCAGGTATATGATCTAATTCACCTAGAAAAATAGATTAGATAATACCAAAACGACCATACCGTTGATAATCATCTTGAAACCTTTAATAGAATCTTTTAGAGACACTAATTTGCCTTCGCGACCGATAAACACTTCTGCTACTTGGAAGGGTTGACTCAAAAACCTCTGAATTTTTCTGGCACGGGAAACTGTCAACCTATCTTCTTCTGACAGTTCATCCATACCTAAAATAGCGATGATATCTTGCAGAGAGCGATTTTCCTAAACAACATATAGATATGACACATAACACAAACCTGAAGGATCTTTTGTACACCACGAGCAACAGAGTAATGTTCCTCACCAACAATGTTAGGATCCAGAATACGGCTGTTAGAATCAAGAGGATCGACGGCAGGGTAAATACCCAATTCAGCAATTGCACGACTTAGGACAGTGGTAGCATCTAAGTGAGCGAATGTGGTAGCAGGGGCAGGATCAGTCAGGTCATCGGCAGGGACATAGATAGCCTGCACAGACGTGATAGATCCTTTTCTCGTTGAAGTGATACGTTCTTGCATACTACCCATGTCAGTGGCGAGTGTAGGCTGATAACCTACAGCACTAGGAATACGACCTAACAGCGCAGACACCTCAGATCCTGCTTGAGTAAATCTGAAAATATTATCGACAAAAAGCAGCACATCTTGTCCCTCTTGGTCACGGAAGTATTCTGCAACTGTTAGACCCGTTAAAGCGACACGAGCACGCGCTCCTGGTGGTTCATTCATTTGCCCGTACACCAGAGACACCTAAGGATATGATAATATTATTTAAAAAAGAACTAACCTTAGAATTGTTTCCTTTAAGGTCAATCACACCAGTTGTTATCATTTCGTGATACAAATCATTGCCTTCTCGAGTACGCTCACCAACACCAGCAAACACAGAGTAACCTCCGTGAGCTCTGGCAATATTATTGATAAGCTCCATAATTAGTACAGTTTTACCAACCCCAGCACCACCGAAGAGACCTATATTAAGTTTGAAGGGCTACTTATCGAACAAACCGATTTTTCCTCCCTTCACATAAGGAGCTAACAGGTCTACAACTTTGATGCCTGTCTCCAGAATTTCTTGCTCAGTACTCATTTCAATGAAATCCGGAGCATCCTGATGAATACCCGACATCATTTTTGTTTTGATGGGCCCTCTCTCATCGATTGGTTCCCCAATAACGTTCATGATACGACCAAGGGTCTCAGGACCAACAGGAATACGAATAGGACCGCCAGTATCAACACACTGCTGACCGCGAACTAGACCTTCGGTACCATCCATAGCAATTGTGCGCACAGTGTTCTCACCAAGATGTTGTGCGATCTCAAGTATAAGTCGAGGAGTACGGCCTTTGACTTCCAAGGCATTCAAAATAGGTGGCAGATTTTCATCGAACTGTACATCCACAACTGCCCCAATAACTGCAACAACACGTCCAGTTGACGCTGCAGTGGTTGCTGCTGGTTTGGCCTCTACGGCATATCCACGCTCTTTAAAGGAAACAAAAATTAAGAAATATGCAGCATACTTTGGCTAATAAGTGTAGATGAACAAAACTGTGATAAATTTGAAGCAGGCCTCAGAAACTTTGACACATTACATAACGACCTAAGAAAACTCATTATGGCAATGTTCAACGAATATACCGCCACCTGAAACGGCAGCGCCAACTAGAATAAAATTATGCAAACAAATACCACAGCAACAGAATTTTACATGCTTGTTTTAGGACTTCGAAAGTCACGTTATCATTTTAGTTCCTTTAGTATACTTACATGAAGGGGCACGTACTAGTTTAAACATATGTTGTATTGGGTTTTGTCAACTGCTTTAATCTTCAGTCTTCAATAACAAGGACACTAAATCGAGTAATCTGTGTTAACCCCTGAAGCTTGTTTTTCAGTAAAGATCCAGCTCCTCCTTGAAAGTGTTTACTGATGGGGCTGATACCACTTGTTCGGGTAAGGATTTCCAGCCACTGACCACGTGATGCATAAAACAGATTCCGCACTCTGTTTACTTGATAATAGTTAGTTCTAGAGAGAGCACATCAGCATCCAAATCTCTATCAAAGATGCGGATTGTCAACATAACGTCACCTCGCGTTCTGCTGTATGATAATGGGAAAAGGTTCAGGCTTATCAAGCGCTCATTGTAAGGAGGTTTCGGAAGACACTCCACTAATTCTGTTCCCTCATGCTGAGTTAGTATCCCTAATTAGACATCGACCAGCTGCCTGGATACAGTACTCTTAGTGTAGTCCCACAAAGATTGTATATAAAACTTGAAACATCACAATAGTGCATTTGAATGCTCGGTGAAGTGACCGTAATGCTCGTAAACCTCTGGCCGCTGATGTGTTGCAATGAACAGTTGTTTTGAAGACACGATTCACTGTTACCCTTGAGTCGTTGTGTTCATGCACGCATGGAAACGATGTAACATTGACAGTATAGCGTTAACTATTGCCGTGTCCGACATTTATTAGAACACTCCCTAACAACTTCCAAGTCCCCAACTTCGAGGTCAGGTTGGAGATTGTAGCGGTAAATAAATCCCCAAAATAAATAGCTCTAAGTTTTCGACAATGGATGCTGGCCATATGTTTTAGTGGACTCATCTAGCTGAAAGCGCTCGGTCATGCATCCGCACCAGATCACATGTGGTAACGCCGTGCTCAACATCAACCGCAATCGCTAGCCAGATTAGGTCAGAGAATTCGGATATATTGGTCATCGCCAAATATACTCTTCCGATCTCGTCGACTCTGTCTTTTGATTTCTCTGGGTGGAAACGAAATATATTAGAAGGTGTTACTGGTAAAAGCGTTGTCAAACACTGAATATCTGTGACTTCATCATTGGTGAAACCGACGTGATCTGGTACACCTATTTGCAACTGTGAATCTGTTCCTTTTTGGGATTATTATATATCATTGCCTTATTTTTTTATTTTTTTAAACATTGTGATTTTTTTTTCGTATTTTTTTCTTGGATACATATTTTTTTCCCCTCGTTCATTATCGTACTTCATATTTCATCATGACTGAACAGACACCTAAAGTACTCAAGCTTAAGACTTTGTCCCCGCTTTCGTTTCAACTGATGCCTTTCTGGCCCGACAACATCGAAGCCTGGTTTTGCTACGCAGAAGCCGACTTCTCCGAGCACGGCGTGATCGACACACGTGCACAATTCCTCGCAGTAGTCAAGACACTACCACGCGAATTCAACAGGTACGTAGCACCCAGTATGTTTACTAGTGATGTTTCTGAACCTTAAGAAACCTTAAAACGTTCGATTTTTAAACGAGGAGACCTAACCGATCGACAAAGATTAGATCAACTCTTTAATAACATGGATCTGCAGCACGGTTCTGCGACGGACATGTTGCAACGGATGAGAGAGGTTATAGGCCCAAGAACTTTCGACGAAGGTCTATTCAAACAACTCTTCTTGTCAAAACTTCCCCAGCAGGTGCAAGTGGTTCTGGCCTAGTTTCAGAACAATGCCTTAGACGAGCTAGCTGCATCTGCCGACCGCATTTTAGAAATTACGAAATCTTCTACGATAGAAATTTTTTCAGTCAAAGAAAAGCCTCAAGCGACTCAGAATGACATAACCGAGTTATGTCATACACTCACGCGTTATCTTAGTCTTCGTACCGACCGTAGTCGCTCGCGCACTCCACGTAGAAGCATTTCACGTAAGTGATCTGTCTCTAGACCACGAGAGACAGATAACCCCGAATGGTGCTGGTATCATAACCAGTATGGAAAGCTTTCCAGAAATTGCAGAAAACCCTGCAATTTTCCCAACACGAAACCGACTGATTCGAAAAACAACTCGGGAAACTTCCAAGCCGGCACGCGTTAACGGCAACCGTAGCCCGCGAACATAGCCGTCTGTTATACGTCACAGATGTGACAACGAGAGTTCGCTACTTCGTCGATACTGGCGCAGAAGTTAGCGTTCTTCCAGCGAATCTTAACGACCGACTTCATGAATCGACCCTAAACTTACAGGCGGCAAACGGAAAACCGATCGCTACGTATAGCAAAAGGTACGTTTACCTTAACGTGGGTTTACGCAAACCAATCCACTGGATTTTCGTTGTTGCAGATGTTTCTATGCCAATCATTGGTATGGACCTTCTACAACACCACAATCTGATCATCGACACGCGCAAACGGAGGCTAGTAGACGGAAACACTAATTTGTCCGTTTGCGTAACTTCTTCTTCCGGTTGTAGATTATCCCCAGTCACAATTAAGCATAGGATAGACCCACTCTATCAGCCAATTCTCGATAAGTACCCTGGAATACAACAAACTCAAACGAAACTACCGTGTGTAACCAGCAACGTTACACATCACATCACGACTACAGGACCACCTCTATTTTCTAAAGCACGACGACCTGCTCCTGAAAAGCTGAGGTTGGCGAAAAACGAGTTTGACCATATGATAGACCTAGGAATCATACGACCGTCAAGTAGCCCATATGCATCTCCGTTGCACATGGTCCCTTAAAAGGACAGCAACGATTGGCGTCCAACTGGTGACTATCGGCTATTGATCGTTACCCGTTGCCTCACATTCACGATTTGACAGCTACCTTGAAAGGTACAACTGCCTTTTCGAAAATCGACTTAGTTAAAGCGTATAACCAAATCCCTATGGCTACTGACGACATACCGAAAACAGCTATCATAACTCCCTTCAGACTCTATGAATTTTTGCGAATGCCTTTCGGTCTAAGGAATGCTGCTCAAACATTCCAAAGATTCATAGACGACGTTTTTCGAGGTCTCAACTTCGTACATGCGTATGTTGATGACTGCCTAATCACAAGTTCGGACAGAGAAATACATCTCAAGCATCTGGATCTTGTTTTCGAACGACTTCAAAAACATGGCATTACTGTAAACGTTCAGAAATGCCAAATTGGAACCGACTCATTAGACTTTCTGGGACACACTATCGATGCTCAAGGCATTCGACCCCTTAGAACCAAAGTGGCGGCCATTCTGGATTACCCAGAACCGACCACCGTCAAGCAATTACGCACGTTTAACGGCTTCGAAAGTTTCTATAGACGATTCATACCGAAATGCGCATTACTCATGAAACCTCTAACCGACCAACTTCGTGGAAATACGAAATCCATTAATTTGGACGACACCGCACGAAAAGCATTCTCCACAATTACGGAACTGATCGCTAAAGCAACAATGCTCGCACATCAGGACACCCGAGCACCCATTAGTATCGCAGTGGACGCATCCGACTCAGCAATCGGAGGAGTCTTACAACAATGAGTTAACAACTCCTGGCAACCACTGGCATTTTCCTCTAGACGGTTGCTAGACACCGAATCGAGGTACAGCACATTCGGTAGGGAACTCCTAGCTATGTATTGTGCTGTACGGCATTTCCAACACTATATCGAAGGCCGTGAATTCACTCTTTTCACGGACCATAAACCGCTCACTTTCTCGTTAAGCTCTCCTTCAGACAAGTACTCTCCTCGTGAGTCTCGACAACTGGTAGAACGCTTTGACCGACAACTAAAAGCTTCACTATCAGCTGCAAACGTTTCACAGTGGACCGACGCTCTTCCACTCGTTTTACTAGGTATTCGCAGTGCAGTGAAAGCTGACATTGGATACACTGCGGCTCAACTCGTTTATGGAACGACACTTCGACTTCCAGGAGAATTCGTGGATCCTTCATTCTCTTCAATGGACATGGATCTAGCCTCCTACACAAACAGGTTTACAAACGCAATGCGTTCAGTTAAACCTGCTTCTACTCGACCTCAATCAAATGATGTTTTCGTTCAACCTGACTTACGATATAGTACACACGTTTTCGTTCATCGAGACTCGCATCGACGACCATTCGAATCAGTATACGAAGGACCCTTCAAAGTTCTTCAACGTGAATCTAAGTACTACATAGTCGATAAGAACGGAACAAACGATAGCATTAGCATCTATCGCTTAAAAGCAGCGTATTTAGAAGGAAATCCTATTCACGTCGACTTTCCTTCGGTACAATCGCACAACACAACTCCTACACTCATAATTCCTCAACCGACAACCAACACTAGCGATGATACTCCAAATGTATCTGAAAATAAACCTAAAACAACGCGTTCTGGAAGAAGAGTAAGATTTCCAAAACATTTAAACGACTACTGCACGTAAGGCACCACTCGACATTTAATATTATCTCGATCTTTCTTTTTACGATATATAATTTTTTTTTAAAAATTTTTAATATGCTTATATATTTATATGTTTACTTAAAAAAACATTTTTTACCGCTATTACGTGTGCTTGAGTATATTTTCCATTTTTTCGTCGACATTGTGTTTTTACGCACATACGAGTGTATTTCGACATGCACTTACACTTTCTTTTTTCTTTTCCAGGACGGCTGGAAAAGAACGATGCAGTTTACGAGGAGTCGAAATTTTCGTTGTAACTTTTTCTTTTTTTACTATGTTGTACCTCGGTCCCATATGGTAAGGAAAGACGACCACACACTTAGTAAGTTATCAGAAGTGTTTACCAACGACAAACTCGTTCGGTTTAAACTTCTGGCCGGCCACATCTTAGGGTCGTCACTGCCCCGCTAGGAGAGGAGTGATCTGTAGCGGTAAATAAATTGTAGTGTAAGTCATTAGTTTCAGCCCATAATATATCTTATTCTAGTTTCCGGACATTCCATTCTATTCATTCTACTTGAGTCATGTTTTGACCTTGTTAATTATTCGCTTATTAGCCTTGACTGTTTTCATATGAGCGTATGTGTGTG